GATGTAATTATTTTTATAAATTGTTTTCATGAATCTCAACGAGGTAGGTGGACAGTAAAAGGTTTTATTATTGATAAATGAGTTTGTTATAAATTATGTTCCATTGGTCGTTTTATTTTCTACCAACTTTTATTACTGTGACAGTGAGATAGTGTGACATATTTACTGGGCTAGTATAGCTCATTCCTTACTTAACTATTTCATATCAAGAGGACTTGGTTCCCGAGCCCGTTCCGCAGGAAGACGGCGAATAGAAGCCTAAAGATTTATTAGTTTTCTTTATAGTATTTCCTTCAGTTAGTTTATTCTTTCATATCTTTAATACGTTTTGATTATTGTGTAAGGGATGTTAATCACAATCTATTTTATTTCGCTTCCGCATTTAGAATAAATATATACATTTTTTTTTTAATTTTCGGGGTCGTTACATTTGGTATCAGAGCCGCGTTCCTCGGATCTGTTCCTTACACAATAATACTTAGAGGAATACCAAACTGAGAATTATTACTCAACCTTTTCTTGTGAAATGCAGGTGCAGAGAGATGATGAGAGGGAGACCCCCACTAAACCAAGCAGCCAGGGATGATTCGCTTCGGAAAGATGTTGAATCAATTTAGTTGTATTACATCAATTATGAAAATGATGTTATTATATCTTTAAAAGTATGAGTGAATATCGTTTAGTGTGTACTTAATCAAATAATGTTCAATTTGGTATTCAGTCTTTAAATTGGTTGGCCAAAAATTTTACTTTAAACTATTTTGATATGGGTCCGAATTCTCTCCTGCTGACTACTTACAAGTCTCTCAACTCTGTGTGTGTCTCTCTCTTTTTCTCTTTATCCTCTGTCCATTTCTTTGCCTAATATGTAGCAATAATATCACATGCCTTGTATAGTTATGCTTTTCATCTGCTGGTCGTTGTTGTAGTTTTGTCTCTCATTAGTTGCTTCTTACCTGCCTTGTTTTGCCGCATCCATTTAACATATTGACTACCGATCGTAAAATATAATAAAATATATTAAAAATTATTTTTATATTTGTAATATTATAGTATTTAATATGATTTATCATTTACATAGAACACTATATTACATAAAATTTTCTTCAGAAATATTTCATATGCTTTTTGTATTAAGAATTTGTATATGCTCTCGAAGCCCTCAATGAGTAATGTTATGAACCATTTGAGTAAAAAATATTTATTCATGGTAAATTTTAATTAATATCTCATATATAACATATATATATATATAAATAATGATAATAGATATCATATATACTGATCGATTCTATAACATATTCGGAGATTTATAATTTTTTTTTTAAATTTTATTATTTATATAAAATTTGTGTCACTCTGTATGAATTTTTAGATTTTAAAGTGTCAGTCAAAATAGTTAAGTAAATTATAAAAGTTTAAAATATCGAGTCAATGATATATTTGTCTTTAATACGATAAATAGATTTTACTTTTAATACGTCGTAACATAAATTATGCCGTTTTAAGAAGTGGTTATTTATTTTCGGATAATAGTATGATTTAAATGGTAATGTAATTCTATCTTTGCAATTACTATTTAAAATGTTAAAACTGAAAAAAGAAAACGTCTATTGGCTGCATGAAATTGGAAATCATGAGCTTGGCCTCATCCAGTTACTCTCTCCCCAACACAATAAAATCCCAATTAAGTAATGGCGTGGAATACACCAAACATCCTCACTGCGGACGCCACCTGCCAGCCTGCCACTACCAGTTCCCATTACAAAACCTTTGATATGAGAATGTTGTCGCTAGCCAAAACGATACCGTTTTATTCCTCCAGTAACCTCCTCTACGGCAATGGGAAAATCTATATATTTATTGGGCCGTTTCGTATCGCACGGTGAAAATCTCTCCTCCTCTGCATTCATCGTTTTGTCCAAATTCTTTCGCTGGTCCGAAAAGGATTCAGTCTGGAAGAAATTTAGCAGAGAAACAAAGAAATAAAACCCTCAAAAAATCTTGACTTTTTTTTTTTGGTGGCCAAATCTTGCATTGGTAAATAGAAAGGAAGGAGAATTCTCTTATCGATCTATCCGCCTTTAAAAGGGTTTGTCAATTGCTTATAGACGCTTACTGTGTTCGTGTTTGTTTTATTAGATCTGTTCTCTCTTTTTTTGACTTGGGTATCGCTGGTGTTTGCTTAGGTTGATCCGTAGGTCGAAGAGGAGGATAGAGAAATGGCGCACAGGGTGGATCACGAGTACGATTATCTGTTCAAGATCGTTTTGATTGGAGATTCTGGTGTCGGCAAATCCAACATTCTCTCGAGATTTACCAGAAATGAATTCTGCTTGGAATCCAAATCCACCATCGGAGTCGAGTTCGCTACCAGAACTCTCCAGGTTGATTTGATCTATTTTGTTTTCTGCTTTCTTTATTTTTTGAAGGATTTGTTTATTGATTTTTCAGTTTTATGATAGAGCGTTTTACGTTGATTTGAAGTTGGGATGTCTCTTTTATGTTTGTTTTTTCTTGTGGATTGGGAGTCCAAGATGACTGAACTATACTCTTATGGAGTTACATTTGGAACTTTTACTCCATGGGTAATGCTTAGAATTAAAAAATGGTTGTTGGAATTTTTTAGTATATAATGTTTTATCAATTTGATTGAATTCTTGTTACCTTTGTAGTTTTTGGATTGTAGGAAACCTTTTTGATCTGGGTTAGATGTTGAGTGTTCTTAGTTGTAGATTATGAAGAAGTGGTAATTGAAGGTTTGATGCATAATCGAGGATTCAATTTTGTGGCATTATTACGTCCAACTCTCTGAACATGTTTAAGTTGCTGTAGGTTACTGGGAGAAGTTTAATCTTCTGATTCAATGAATGGCAGGGGTTATTCACTGTTGGCTGGCGGTGACAGGAGAACTGTGTTTACACAATTTTTGAACTAGAATTGTATATCTTGATCGGATTTTTATGAATTGGATATTTTCGCGGAACATGACCTTTTATTCATTTTTGGGAATTATTAGTTAGTTGGTTCGGCATTAGTTGGTTGAACAAAATAGTCAACTTATTCAACATATTTTATAGCAGTTGATGGGTGGTGGAGGGATAATACTGAGTGGAAGACATGATTGTCATGACCAAATATGTTATGTTGTTAAAAAGCAATTATTGGAGAACCAACTGTCAGTTTAATAGAATACTATTTACAGACTGTGCTAATCAAGCTGTCCTTTCCTCGATAGAATAATCCTGTGTCAATCGTTGTCCTTTTTGCCTCAGGAGTTGAGAAGGATTAGCAATCGGCACAATAGATAACTATTAATAAAAGATCTGTCTCCTATAATTTAGTTTCCTTTATGATGAAAAGGATAAATGTGAATCAGATAGAGGAAAATCGAAGGTTTTTTTTTTTTCTCTCTCTCTCTCTCATGCCCCCTAGTCATGCGTGAATGGGTCAGGAATTGTAAGCTTGCAACGTACATAGAGTTAGAGTCGAAGAAGAATTGTTGCATGTCCATGATATAGAGCTAATACTTAAATTCTTGAATGCAGGTTGAAGGAAAGACTGTTAAGGCGCAGATTTGGGACACTGCTGGTCAAGAGCGATATCGAGCTATTACCAGTGCTTACTACAGAGGAGCTGTTGGTGCCCTCCTTGTCTATGACATCACTAAGAGGCAAACCTTTGACAATGTCCAGAGGTGGCTGCGTGAATTGAGAGACCATGCAGATTCTAACATTGTCATCATGATGGCTGGAAATAAATCAGACTTGAGTCATTTAAGAGCTGTTGCAGAGGAGGATGGTCATGCCTTAGCTGAAAGGGAAGGTCTATCATTTCTCGAGACATCCGCTCTGGAAGCCATCAATATTGAGAAGGCATTTCAAACCATTTTGACTGAGATTTACCATATCATAAGCAAGAAAGCATTGGCCGCCCAGGAAGCCGCTGCCAACACTGCAATTCCGGGCCAAGGAACCACCATCAATGTTGCCGATGCATCAGGGATCACAAAAAAAGGTTGCTGTTCTACTTAAGTTGATAGGTGAAATTTAAAGCACCACAGATTTGGTAGCCGGCAGACCTCTCAACCTTCTCTGTTAATCTTTTATTCTATCTTTTTACTAATTTTTTTGCTGAAAGGAAGACATGTAGAGTACCTTTTTCTTTTTTTATGTCTTTTACTACATTGAGTTGTTATAGCCTGTGAAATTTAAAATGACATTGCATGGTAGTATAGGGAGGATCTGCTCCTTATCTCTTTTGTTATGTTGCCCTTGGGAAACTGACAACTAGATGCTATCTTATTTGAAAGGGGAAACTTTTATGGGGTGGAAAGAGTTTATGTAAGTTTAGTCTTCCCTTCTGGCTTGTGCTTGTTCAGTTTTAATGTAATAAATCATTTTACCTTTTTTGATATGTACTTCGAGTTTATTAATTTTTCGTAATGATCTCACAGTGATTTGTACACAGTAATATTATTGGAATCTCATTATAAGTCTAAGATTCAAAATTGAAAAGGCATACATCAGTATTTGGCAACTAATTTAAGTCATTATACTGAATGATGGGTCATTATTACCAAGTTGGCATAGATGATTCCACTTTCAAATATGTTAAAGAATGGACAAGATGAGCTGCACGTTGGCTGCCTTGTGGAATCTGGGAGATTGCTTGGTTGTAAGTAATTGAATTTTAAAAAGTGCACAATAGTGGGGGAAAAGGATCAAATGGCTGGAAAACCAGTTCACTAATAAAGCACAGGGTGAAAAGTCAACCAATTTCAAGTCATCAAATTCCAACCCAATGAATTGGAGCCTATCATTTGGTCAAGACACAGAAAGCCAAGTTTGATCCTGTTCACGCTTAACCTCAATTAATGAACTAATCAAAGCAAATAAAACAAAATGATGCTAACGTATTTGTTAGTGTACATGTTCTCTCTTTCATGAGTCCCAAGAGTATAAAACGGAAAACGAACAAGGATGCTACTCATTCAATCTGTACAGTTATGTGATGTATCCTGTGTGATTTTTCACAGAATTCCCTAATCTTGTGTAGTATCTCTGCAGAGCTGACTCCAGGCTCAGCCACTACATGGCAAGACAATGAAATTTTCCCTACTGTTATGGCCCAGACATGCAGGTCATGAATACTGTGAACTCCTCTGATAGATCTAAGACCATTTTCCAGCTTTGCAATGTTAATTTCGCTCGGCGTCCTCTCCATTAGTATGCCAAATATATTCTTAAGCATGGGTAGAGTAGCACTTACGGAAAAAGCAGAGAAGACAAGAGTGCAGATAAGATCCACAACCAACCAATCCGGACGAATCCATATAATGGCTCCACCAATCATTACACCAGCAGATTGTATCAGATCAGCCATGACATGCAAGTATGCTCCCTGGAGATTTATGTTCATTGTCTTGGCTTTTGCTGGAGAACTCAATACCATATTAGTCCCATCTTCCTCAGTTATTGCACAAAGTTCCTCACCCTCCTGATCATCATGGCAATGATTTTTGTCCCCCCGTGCATGATGATGGTGGTGGTGGTGGTGGTGGTGATGACCATGAGTATGATCATGACCCAACCATATGATCATGATCAAATTGATGATAAACCCAAATGATGCAATTGCAAACATGATCGCTCCATTCACCTTCTCATTATTGTGAAGAATTCTGTCAATTGCTTCATAAATTAAGATTCCAGATATTAGCCAGATTAGTTGGACTGATATAAGAGCACCCAAAACTTCAAAACGGCTGAAACCAAAAGACTGGTGTGACGTTGCTCCCCATCCTGAAGCCCACAATGAGAAGAGAGAAATGGAGAATCCGGCAACATCAGTAAGCAAATGAGCAGCATCTGTAAAGACTGCAAGGCTGTTTGCTTTCACTCCACCAATAACCTCTGCTACCATAACCAGTAGATAAAAAAATATGAGCCTGCCAAGTCTCCCTGCAGATCTTGATCTTTCTTCTGATTCCAGAATACTATTTTCTTGCCTGGAAAACGTGCATACTGATTCACAAGGTGAATGTGGTGTCAAAGTAACAAAACTCCCTTCAGAGACAACTGGTGACTCAATATCCTGCTCTTGCTCTGAGCTCAAAATGGACACCTCCTCATACTCCATCTGTTTAGGACAAATAATAACACGTAAGCCAAACTCTGATACTAGAAACTAATTGAAAACTTTAAGACAAAAAATAGGTAGTCTAATTGCCAGATGCCTATATTTCTAAAAGTTTTAAGTTTCATCGGACCAAATTCATAGTGACCACACTTTGCCGATACGGATGACTTGGATGTCAAACTTGGTGAGAGACGCTCGACTGATTTATAAAAAAGGGATATTGTAGTTCAAAATCAGTGGAATAACATCTAACAAAATAAATTATTCCTTACAGACAGGAACTAGAAGGAAATTAACATGCTTCACTTGCAATTGAGATTGACAAAACAAGTTAAGGAACTTTAGCAGAATCTGAATCATTTTTCCTCCCTCCAACACAACCAGATAGACCCTTCTTTGCATTTATTAGGATTTTGCTTGATGTCTGCATTGTTCATGCAACAAAAGTCCGATCACTCATTCCAAATGGTTTTGATTGCACTGAGCCAAAAAGTCATAAATTGTTCTCGCCTTGCCAAACCATCTTGCATTGCTTGCTAGCACTTGTCCCATTTCTTGCTGAATATGCAGTCACACCAGTATAAAGCTAACGTAGCTTCACACAGGACATACATAAAAACAAACAGTTCTATAATCAGGATTTCCTATTCCTCGTTAATTCAGCATCATGAGATTAAAATTCCAGCTCTAACAGATAAGTTATTCAATGGCATCTCCTTCATCATTAGTTATTCAATTTTCAAAAGGTCAACAGCAATTTTACCCCTTTCCTATCCCTCATTTCTTTTCCCTAAATGATCTTTAAATCAAGAAAGGAAAACAAAGAAGAAGCCATAAATTATAGAGAAAATAGAGACAGAAAATATAGATTTTACACACCACTTGCTTGGTCTCATACGATTGAATGCAACAGGATCGTCATCAGTGATGAAACAACACCAACTTTCAGAAAAACAATAAAACAGTTTCGCATTTGCAGTATTCATGGATCAAGAATCGACATTCACGAACATGATATAATCATCAAATGAACACAAACAAACACAAAAACTAAATTGAGAAAGAAGGAAACAAATGAAAAGACGATCAAATGAAGTCAGGGTACGACATACCTGAGAATGAGATAAGAAAAACGAGGAGCTTCAATGGGGTTCTTTCTTCTTTTAGGATTTGTATCAGCAACATAAACGTCGCTGCTTTTTAAGAAGGAAAAAAATGCGAGGAAAATGAATTCCTGGATATGTTCTTCAAACCTGGAAAGAAGAAGCGATTTCTAGGTTTGAAAACTTAAATTTTGCATAATTTCGTTTCGCCTCCAAAATCCAAAGTTGCAATTTTTGGGGTTCAACCAAAGCCGGCGATGGCCGTTAGAGTTGACGGAAATGGAATCTTCGATTCATGATTATGACGCGCCCTAAAAAAGGCGCTAAATTAGCGGTCTCCTTCCTTGTTTGAGAATCTTATTTTTTGAATTTTTTTTTATTTTTTCCTATCTTATCAGTTTTTCCCTTTTTATTTTTATTTATAATTTAACATGTTTTTATTAATTAAATTATTAATTAGTTTACTAAATCTAAAAAATCGTAATCCGCTACCGAACTTATTCCAATTAATGAGCATTTTAATATTATGTCTTGAAAAATACTCAAAATTCAACATTCTTTAGCACGAGATTTTGAGTCTCTTGTGTCTTTCACCTCACCACCAAATATTTTAAAATTGAATCTTATTTTATAAATATTATATCTATCTAATATAATATATGATAAATATAAAATATTAAAATATTTCTATTGATCAACCACGATATATAAATTCGAATCGAATATTTAATTATTTTGATTTAAAAGATCTAAATAATATTATATATATTAATTATAAAAAAAATATGAATAATTAAATTTATTTCTCGATTCAATAAAAATTCAATTAAATAAATAAGATTTAAATGGAATGTACCAATTAAGGGATCCATATATAAATATAGTAGTTATCTAAATATGTTCGAATTTTTTTTATAATGTATTTTTATAAAATTAATAAATTTTGTTTTTATTCATTTTTTTTAAATGTGTAGCTACTTATTTTTATTTATTTTTAATAGCGAATTCTATTAAAAATTTAATTTTTTATTTTATTTTACTACTTATAATATTTTTCATATAATTTTACAATTTAAAATTTAATGATCATTTATTTAACTATATTTATTGTTGTAAAAATATCATGATTATTATTATTTTTTAAATTAGGAAATTTGATTGTGCATAAAGCAAATAATGTTAAATGTAATTATTGATATAAACGATTTTGTACAAAAATTATAACTATCCCATTTGTTTGACAAAAAATGTGAACTAACAAAAATTTATAAAATAACATTTTATTTAATTTCATCATTTAAAAATATCACATACGTATTATATTTGAATTAAAAAAATAAATTTCTTAAAATGCATCAATTCGTGTTAATAATTATATTTTTTTAACGGTCTCTTTTATAAAATATTATTACTAAAATAATTATGTGTTACATTTTAAAAAAAAATAATTGCAAAACATTATTATTTCGTATCTGATAAAAATACTGAAATATTTATTATATTGTATGAAATAAATATAATAATTATTTAAAAACTTTTAAATATTAATTTTTGAGTGAAATTAGGTTTTTTATGAAGAAATAATAATTATAAAGTATTATCAAATAATATATCTATTTTTAATAATAATAAAATTTTAAACTATATTTTATTTGAATTTTAACAAATTATTTTAATCTATATTTTATATAATGAATATTTATACTAAATAAAAAAAAGTTGATCTTGTTATTTAGCTGATTTACAATAAAATTAAGAATTGAAAAAAATGATATATAATAAAATTTGAAAGAAATTAAAAATGGAGAATTTAATTATATTTTATCAGAAAAAATAATAAATTATAGTAAAAATAAAATAATTGAGCTTTTATATATATTTTCTGAAATAATAAATATTTTTTAAAAAAATTATCAATTAATGTAAAAACTCGTACTCGAATAAACACCAAAAAGATGAAAATTCTTAATATTGGACGAAAGGCTGCTGGTCTGTGTTTTTGGTCGGAAGCTAAGAATCTAAGATTGAATTCTTATTTTTATAAAGAATTAAAAATTATATATATATATATATATATATATATATACATACACACATATACTGTAAAACAAGAAAAAACATAGTGGCATTTCTGAATTTAAAGTGGAAAATCAAGGGCTTTTATTTAATGAAGCTCACAAGATGTTATTTTTACCGAATAATTTACAGGCACATAGATGTCTCCGCCCCATCGGAGTTGCAGTCACCTTCACCGTCTCTTTGCTTTTTCCTCCTCTGATTTATTGTGAAATTTAGTTATTTATTTATTTATTTTTAATCTTTCTGTGTTAACCGCACTACATAGATATGTATAATTAATATATATAATAATTTAATTCAACATAAAAACCAGCCACATTCTCTTTATTATCTCCTCCCGAAAGAACCCCACTAACCCAAATTCAAAACGCACCCCCTCCAAAAATTTATTAGAGAAAAAGGAGCATAGAAAGATTAAGCGGAAAAAAAGACAAGAACCCACGACAAAAAGTCGGTTTCTTGTTGATAATCTCTGGTTTTCTTTGAGGAGGGAGGGGGAGATCGTTTTGAAGATTGGATTTCAGGTTTTTGTTTTGTTTCTGTTCTTTTTTAGGGGGAGGGCCTGGTTTTTGAATGGCGCAACAAGGGCAGGGAGGTATGGACCCTGCCGTTTTGGATGATATTATATGTCGTTTATTGGAGTACAGGAACGCGAGGCCAGGAAAGCAAGTGCAGCTCAACGAAAACGAGATCCGTCAACTTTGTACTGTTTCAAAGGAAATCTTTCTTCAACAGCCCAACCTTCTCGAACTCGAAGCACCCATTAAGATCTGCGGTACATTCTCATCCGAAATTTGTAGCATTTGGCTTCTTTTGTTTTGTGTTCTTAATATTTTTGCACATTGTTTTTGGTTTTCCTTTGCGATCTGGTCGTTGTGGGTTTTGGTTGTATGGGGTTAAGAGACAGATTTACAGACAAATTTTTGGGGAATAATTCATGGGTTTGAGTGATATTATTATTATTATTATTATTTTACTTGTCAGAATAATGGAAAAGGGAGCTTTGCAATTCAAGTTTTGTGATTGTCTAGATGGAATGTATAAGATTACTGTGTTCTCACCCTTTTTCTTGGTTAGGACGACGTCTATTTTGAATGATTGATGTTTTGAATGTCCTTTCAATTATTCCAGCTTTCTGAGAGGTGGCTGTTTCCAAATCTTATGACACCTGTTATCTTGTATGCTCCATAGCTCTAATCCTTTTGTCAGGGTTAGTTTTAATCCCTCAGAGCCATTAGCAAAAATGGTATTGCTGCGAACCCGGTTTTGTTACTTCATGTCTATGCACTTGAAGTTAAAAAAGAAAAGAGGGGAGTTTATTGAAGAGAAGCGGACTTATTTTGTGGGGAAGATGACGGGGGTCTAGTGAATTCTCAGAAGAATAAGGTGAACTTAAGTTTGGAAGAAATTGAGTGGGTTTGCTATTGGTTTTTTGTTTTGAACTCGTGGTATGAGCTAGGAGTTGCACTAAGAACTAAATTTGTCAAAAAAACCGTTGTGGGGGTGGCATGATGAACTTTTGGATGGTTATTATGTAATGGTTCTAATGGACTCCTTATGGTGTCATTACAACTTTTAAAGCGAGTGCAGATTTATATGTGCATGTTTCTAGTGAAATTTCTCTAGTGCATTAGGTCTTTGAAGATTTTAAGGAAGGAAGATGAAGATTTTCGAGAGGAGAAGAATTTCTTCTTTGATTTTCCTTGCCTTACAAAATAAGGAGGGTGCCTTTATATAGGCACATGTCATCCGAAATATATCCTAACAGAATGAAGGAAAAGAAAAAAAAAATGAATATTGTGGTAGCGGACATCCCCACCTATCCACAACAAATTTACACAAAATTACAAAACTATCATTTCATGATTTTTTACACTCCCCCTCAATTTAAGTGACATAGATATTGAGTAATTCTAGATTGGATGCAATATTATTAAACGCCCCTTTTGGTAGTGCCTTTGTGAGTATGTTTGCAGTCTGTTGACTGGTTGGAACATATAGTAGTGTTATGGCCTGATCTTCAATTTTTTCCATGATGAAAGTGTTGATCAATCTCAACATGCTTGGTTCTATCATGGTACACAAGATTTTTTGTTATGCTAATGGTTGATTGATTATCACACTAGAGTTTCATAGGGGTAGGAACTGAGAATCTTAGTTCAAGTAGTATTTTTTTCAACCATACTCCTTCATATATTTCATGAGCAAGTGATCGTAATTCAAATTCAGCACTGCTTCTTGATACAACAGATTGTTTCTTGTTACGCTAAGTGACTAGATTGCCCCACATATATGTACAATAGCCACATGTGGATCTCCTATTGGTTACTGATTCTGCCCAGTCTACATCAGTGAAAATTTCAATGTCCTTGTTCATTGTTTTTTGAAAGAATAATCCATGTCCTGGTGTCATTTTTATGTATATCAGAATCCGGTATATCGCACTCATGTGTTCTTTAGTAGGTTGAGACATGAATTGGCTCACAGTACTCACTGCAAAACTGATGTCAAGTCTTGTGTGAGCTAAGTAGATAAGCTTGCCTACAAGTCTCTGATACCTTTATCTATCAACAGGTTTACTATCAGTTTTAGATCTACTTTAGCATTTGACTTCATAGATGTTTCTGTAGGTTTACAATCAAGCATACCTGTCTCTTTTAGGAGATTCAGGACATATTTCCGTTGTGATACAGAGATTTCTTTTTTAGACCGAGCTATTTCCATTTGAAAAAAATACTTGAGTATCTCAAGATTTTTGATTTCAAATTTTTGCCTAGAAAGCTTGTGAGTCTCTGAATTTCTTCAACATGATCACCAGTCAGGATAATATCATCAGCATACACAATCAGAATAGCTCTTTTGCTTGTGACCCTGTGTTTGATAAATAATGTATGATCGGACTGGCACTGTTCATATCCCATATGTTTCACTATCTTGGTGAATCTATTAAACCATGTCCTCGAGGACTGCTTGAGACCATAAAGTACATTTTTTAGTTAAATACCTTTTGTGGGTTCATTTCAAGTCCTGGTGGAACTTTCATATACACCTCTTCTTCTAAATCGCCATTGAGAAAAACATTTTTCACATTAAGTTGATAAAGAGGCCAATTAAGATTTGAGACTAATGAGAATAGTACCCGAATAGTGTTGTGCTTGGCAACTAGGGCAAATGTCTTCTGATAATCAATCTCTTATGACTGAGTAAAACCTTTAGCAATAAGGTGGGTTTTGTGTCGATTCACACTTCCATCTGGATTATACTTTGTAGTGAAGATCCATTTGCATCCTACTGGGGTTTTTCCTGAAGGCAGTTCAGTTAACTCCCATGTCTCATTCTTTTCAAGTGCTTTGATTTTCTCTTGGATTCCAACTTTACATTCTGGAAACTTGAGTGCTTCATGAATTGTTTTTGGTTCCATGGTGTTGCTGTATAGTTTGCTCACAAGTGCATGATTTGTTAAAAACAGTTTACCATATGAGACAGAATCCTGTATGGGATGCATGGTGCAAGAACGAACACCTTTTCGTAAAATAATAGGTAACTCAGTATCAATATCAGTTGATGAGTCAGAGATTTCATTACCTGCTATATTCTGAATGTCTGGTCCAGGAGTTGATTCATGACAATGCATAGTTGGTTCAGATACTTTACCATCTTGAGTCCTATTCCTCCTAGTGTAAACACGTAACTCACTCTTTACAGGCAATGTACTATCAGTTTCTGTGACAAGTTCAAACTCTCTTGTAGTTTTAGGGATCGGTTCAGTTGCTGGAGAAGGTGTATTTGTCAAAGAGATATATAGAGGACACGTTCACATCCCACAATTGATATTTCTGAGTGAAATTCTCTCCCTGAATATTAAGAGTGGGATAAAAGAGTTGGTTTTCAAAAAATGTTACATTCATAGTGTTGTAAAATCAACGGGTACTTGGGAGAGAATATTTGTATCCTTTCTGATTTGATGAGTATCCAACAAATACATATTTAAGGGTCATTGGATCTAATTTTCCCCTAAGATGAGCATGATATGAACATAATCAGAGCAGCTAAAGACTTTAAACAGGACTATGGTTAGAATGTGAGATTTAAGGAAGGCTTGAAGGAGAGTTTCGTAGGGTGTTTTATGTTTGAGTATACGGGAAGACATCTTGTTGATCAAGTAGGTGGCGGTGAAGATAGCCTCTCCCTAAAGATATTTGGGAATATGTGTAGTAAACATAAGTGATCGAGCAACTTAAAGGATATTTCTATTTTTTCTTTCGGATATACCATTTTACTATGGGGTGTAAACACATGAACTTTGGTGGATAATGCCTTGATCAGTAAGGTATTTTCCCAGGGTGGATTCAAATATTTGCATCCATTGTCTGATTTCAACACTTGTATTGTGGTGTGAAATTAGTTTTGAATCATAGTGTTGACTTTCTATAATATTTGGTCAACTTCAGATTTTTCTTTCATAAGAAAAACTCAAGTAATTTTAGTGTGATCATAAATGAAGGATATAAACCATTTTGTATCAGTAATATTTTTTGCCCGTGATGATCCCCATACATCATTATGGATTAATGCAAAAGGTTTTGAGGGTTTATATGTCAAATTTGGAAAGGAATTTCGAATATGTTTAGAGAATTGACATATTTCACACTGAAATAAAAATGGACTTTTATTTTTGAATAAAACATAAAATAGTTGTTTCAAATACAAAAGGTTTGGGTGTGCTAATCGGTAATGCCATAACATGATAGAGTAGTCATCATTTGAACATTTTAGAGAAATTAAATTAGCACATGCTACATTTGAAATTTGTCCATTTGAAGGAGGTGTTTCAACTGGTAGAAAGTATAGTCCTAACTCTAACCTAACACTGCTAATCGTCTTTCCCGAGACCAAGTCCTGAAATACACAAAGATCAGTGTCAAATTTAACAGCACAGTTCATGTCTCTAGATAGTTTGCTCACAGATAACAGATTGTAATCCAAATTGGGTACATAGAGAACTAAATGTAGTGTCAAACATGGTGATATATCAGTTGAGCCAATTCCTACCACTCGAGAATTTGTTCCATTAGCAATTTTTATAAAAAATACCTTCTTATGCTCACTGTATCAGTGAAGCAGTGAACAATCTCCTGTCATATGGTCAGATGCCCCTGAATCCATAATCCACATTTGCTTTTTTGTGGAATAGGCAGATAAATCAAGTAGGGAATTACCTATTTGTGCAATTGAAGCATTACCAAGAAGGCCCTTTTGTGAAAACATCTTTAGGAGGGCCTCCATCTATTCTGAACTGAAGGGAGCGCTGTCAGGTTGAGTGTTTGGTGTATCATCCGAGGTTGCTAGATTTCCGTGATGAATTTCTGGTCTGATGGGCTTCTTCTCTCCCGGTTTTCCATGAAGCTTCCTGCATTTCTCACGAAAATGACCTGGTATTTTGCAGAATTCACACCGTGACCGTCCTCTCTTTCCTCGAAAATCAATGACCCGGGTGGTAGTGCCGAGATGTTCTCACTCAGTTGAGTGACCCAGGTGGTGAGTGTCGAGGCGTTCTCACTCAGTTGAGCGAGCTAGGTTTCTCCCATCATCACCTTTTTCTGGCTCTCCTCGCAGCAAATCTAGAAAAAAATTTCTCGAATACTCAACAAAGGTTTTGTGCTTAACACTCGTCCTCTTACGTCATCCAGAGTTTTGTTCAGCCCCATTAGAAACTTAAATATACTCTTCTGTTCAACAATCGTTTTGAACTTCTTTGCATCTTTCGTACAGTTCCATTTGTGTTCTTCGAAAATATCAAGCTGTTGTCAAATTACGAATGAGAGAATTATAATACTGGGTAACAGACATCTCACCTTGTTGTAGCTCATGGAGGATGGATTCAATCTCGAAGATGACCGACGTGTTATCCCGACTAGAGTAGAACTCTCGTGTAGCTTCCCAGACTTCGTACGCAGTCTCATAGAGTAAAAAGTTCTCTCCAATCTCGGAAATTATGGAGTTTACTAGCCAGGACATGACCATGTTATTTTCAATCTTCCAGGCTTGCGCATTTTGGTCATGTGCTGGTGGCGGTGTGATTTCGCCAGTCAAGTATTCATCACGCCTTTTTCCTCGGATGAACAGCAGCACTGACGAAGACCATTACAGATAGTTGTTGCTGTTGAGTTTGTGGCCAGTGATGAACGATGAAGACTGTTCCACCAGTCCGATGTTGATGGGTGTAGGTAGATAAGCACCCGAGAGTACTTCGGGTGGAGAGGAATTTTGCTCATCCGCAGCCATTTGAGGATTCGGCCCAGTCGGATTGAAGCTTCTAGATTAGAGATGCTCTAATACCTTGAAGATTTTTGGGAAGGAAGATGAAGATTTTCTAGAGGAGAAGAATTCATTCTCTGATTTTCTCTGTCTTACAAAATAAGGAGGGTGCCTTTATATAGGCACCTGACACCCGAAATATATCCTAATAAAATGAAGGAACAGAAGAAAAAAAAAAGAATATTGTGGTAGCACGCATCCTCATCTATCCACAACAAATTCACACAAAATTACAAAATTCCAAAATATTGTGGCAGTGAATTGTATTTTAAATTATCATATCTCTTCAGATTGAGCTTTCTGTTATGGGTTATTAGGAATGAAATAGAGTGAGAACCTCTCCATGTTGGTTCTGGAGCAACCAACGGTGAGATTTATCAATTGAACTTTTTAAGAGTGAAGCAGAAAAGGGTGTACTAAGACTTGCAGTTGGTTTGACGTTGATTCAACTCTCATTGCCAATCCATAGTAAAATAAACATAAGAAATGCTGAAGGGCTGTAACTTAAACTAGGCCATGTTAATGACATTGCCACTGTATAGCTTCAATATTGGGTCCGCTGTTAAACATATGGTATACTACTGTTCCCCAATTTTGTGCCTAAGTAACTCCTGCATTTGAACTGGAATGCAAGACAGAAGAACCCAATTGGATATGGCAAAAAAGACCTGTTAAAAGATAATGCATGAAGGCTCATGCAATTAGTTTTGCATAGAGGCTTTGTTGAGTTTTCTTGATTTAAGGATATTTAGCCAAAGCGAGAAACTCTTGGACAACTAGTTAGATCTTAATATTTTTAGCTCATGCTTTGAACACATGGAACTTATTGGAGCAATATATATTTGAGGACTACTTATATAAATGTCTATCAAACAAAACATCTTTATCCATTTATCAATTTGAACTTTCAAAAATGTGGTTCAGTTGTAGTTTAGAATTTATATTTGAGAACATGGTTGTTCTTGGTTATCTCTCTGTCTCCTTTTGTGGTTCTATTATGTCCACTTCATTCTTAACACAATGTGGGTATAAATAGTGGCTTTATTACATTTTTAACTTTCACTTCTTGTACATAAAACAGAAGTTTGATTAGGAATTTGGATTAAGTATGCATTTTGTCTGCTGTCACTGAAAGTCTTTCTGTAGTTTCTTCGATAAGAAATATCATTTTTTTTTTTAGTGTTACTAACCTTTGTGCTCTTTCTGCATTTCCAGGTGACATTCATGGGCAATATTCTGATCTATTGAGGCTCTTTGAGTATGGTGGCTTCCCTCCTAATGCAAACTATTTGTTCTTGGGGGACTATGTGGATCGTGGCAAGCAGAGTTTGGAAACTATTTGCCTTCTGCTTGCCTATAAAATAAAATATCCTGAGAACTTTTTCCTCTTAAGAGGAAATCATGAATGTGCCTCCATTAATCGTATTTATGGATTTTATGATGAATGTAAAAGACGGTTCAACGTGAGACTCTGGAAAACCTTTACAGATTGTTTTAATTGTCTTCCTGTGGCCGCGCTAATAGATGACAAAATTTTGTGTATGCACGGTGGCCTTTCCCCTGACCTAGCACACTTGGATCAGATTAGGAACCTAACACGTCCAACTGATGTTCCAGATTCAGTGTTGCTTTGTGACTTACTTTGGTCAGATCCTAGCAGAGAGTTCAAAGGCTGGCAAATGAACGATCGTGGAGTCTCTTTTACATTTGGGCCAGATAAGGTGTCAGAGTTTTTAATGAAGAATGATATGGACCTTATTTGTCGTGCCCATCAGGTTAATAATTTTTGCGTCCGTTAAATTCTGATTTATCAAACAACTAACTGGGTCATATTTTTCCAGGTTGTTGAGGATGGATATGAATTCTTTGCTGACAGACAGCTTGTTACCATATTTTCTGCACCCAACTACTGTGGTGAATTTGACAATGCTGGGGCAATGATGAGTGTTGATGAAAGCTTAATGTGCTCTTTTCAAATTCTTAAGCCTGCAGATAAAAAGTCTAGATTCTTCTGAACAAGAAACCTGATTGTTGTGCTCCTTTCTGCATTGAATTTCTGATGTAAGTTCTGTGGGATTACTACTATGCATGTTTGTGCATGTAATGTCTTAGCTTTTCCATTCAACTACGTGATTTCTCAACTCTGATTCATGCTGGCAGCCATCCATTAGGTTATGGTCGTGATGTTACTCTTGGCTGATATATTTTTTTTCTTCGCGTTGCGTAGTTGTGTCACCTCATAGGAGTAAGCACTACCATCCTGGCCAAAGTACGGTGGCACTGCTTTAGGGTGATTAATAGGAAATATGTAGTTTATTATTACTCCAATACCAAAGCAATGTGTATTTCAATGTGAAGTAGTAGAGGAAAACCTTGCTGATTGGTTAATCAGAGAAATCCCCCGCCTTTCTTTACCAGTGTTGTTTCCATTGGTAGAAGAATAGCATAGCATAACCGTCAACTCCATATTTACTTCCTATAGTATTATTGACCCACCAATAATAGCAATGGCACTAAACGACTATTAATAAGTTGGTGATGCATTCACTCGTGCATCCCAAATACCCTGTGAAAATGTAATCATTAAAATTTATAAATTAATTATGTTCATATGTCAAATCAAACCAAACCAATCCAGTTCCATCCCATCTCAGTTATCGTCTTGATCATCTTTTAACTCCTTAAGCATCTGCATCCCCATTAGATCCATTATTGGCCATGACCTCTTCTCTTTTTCTGCTCCACAACTTGGACATAATTGTAGATGTATGGATTGACTTGGATAGATTTAGGGGAATTATGTCACTGTTACTTCTGTATGCAGATTGAACTTTGGTGCATTGCCTGGGAATTTAATCAGGTCTTGGATTTTCAGTGCTTGCAAATATCAAGTCACTTCTGGAAATTTGTCCAACTCCAGTGTAATGATTTGGTGATACGGTGATGACACACCATCCTCTTTGTTGCATTCTAATATTGCCTAGAATGGAGAGAGTTCATTTATTTTGATGGAATGTCGCGAACTAGTACAATTTTGTCGATATGCTAATATGATTGTTTCCTGAAAATTATTTCCTCTGGATGATACGTGCCTATACTTCTTCCGACTTGGTCTTATCATCCTAAATTTTTGTGTTCAAATCTGGGTTTCAGTCCCTGATGATTACATTGACATGCTCACGCCTTTGTTCTTGTTGTGATCCAGGGAAAAGATACATGAAGGGGAAAAGTGGTTCTGTAAGTTCCATCATGATCAAGCAGTTGCAAATCACAAAGTTATTGCATTCGGCGCTTTGATTCCTTAAGAGTTATTTGCTGAAGATAGTGGGTTTTGGAGGAGGGTTTTTTTTTCTCAAACTTCCAAGTTTGGAGCTAACTCCTTCTAGGATAGCAGCAAAGGCTGGAATTTATATTCTTTCTTTGAATTGAAGTTTTTGGTTTTTTCTATCTTTTTCTCCCGGAAACTATGATGTGGCCCATGTATATACTCTGTTTTTCTTTTGTGTAAAATATTGCACTACGGATTTATGAAGGATTTCTGTTAATCATAAGCAATTTTCTTATCCTACTCAGTGAGAGGATTTTGAGGGTGAGCCATTGGTACTGCGTTGAGGTCACTGTTTCAGAAATTTTGGCAGGTGGGTGAGATCTGCAACTGCCGTTTGGAGTTTAGATATACTTACTAGCATGATTGTTATTTAAACTTCTTCATTAGGGCTTCAAGGCTTTATCATGACCTAGGTCCTGGCCCTCCCCTCTGGAATGGAGTTTAGCTAGTGACTTCCATGTGTTTGATGAAGAATTATTTTTATGGTATCAATCACGTCTTTTCCAGATGTGTGTGTGTTTTCAGGTTTCAACTAATTAGTTAATTGGTCCCTAAACGAACATTTCAAGTTTTTTGTGATGTTAATTGTATAATTATATTCAGAAATTAAAAATGAATATTATATATTTAAATTAAGATTGACCTCACGTATATGTATATGGATACGTATATGTTTATATATAATGTCAGATATATATATATAGAAGGAAAAAATTGTTCAAAAGACAATGCTATTACCAGATATATCCACACGCACGTGTATATCCTGACGTCTTGCTCAAATCGCAAATGTCAAATTTACAGGTGATTTAAAGCCAAAAATGTTTCCATTTTTGGAAGGTTTCTTACGGCATGCATGTTGAACTTTTTATAAACAGGTGGGGAGGTGGAAGATGATACAAGTAGTTCGTCTCTGCATGTTGTCGGTGGAACGTGATAACAGCTCTGCACCCTCGTCGGTGCAATATGTTTTTAACAGTAGAATCTCCTATTTATACCCAACTTCTTCTCTCTCTGCGTATCAACACCTTAAGTAATCGGTCATGGCGAAGGTGAAGGTGAAGATGAAGATGAAGATGAAGATGCCTGTGCTTGGGCTGGGCGTGAGGATTTTGCTGCTGCTAGTGTTGGCGTCAGCTGGAGTTGGAAGGTATGGGGTTTGCGGTGATGAAGGTGGAGAGGAAGGGAGAATGGTGGATGAGTTTTATCCGACATTGAAGGCTAATCATTATAGGGATCCACCTTCCGTATATCCGTCACCACCGACTCATGGCCGTCCACCTCCCACTCATGGCCGTCCTCCGCCAACTCACGGTCATCCACCACCGACTCACGGTCATCCACCACCAACTCTGTATCCGCCGCCAACTCAGCAAGCACCACCAACTCTGCATCCGCCGCCAATTCAGTATCCGCCGCCAACTCGGCATCCTCCGCCAACTCAGTACCCACCACCTACGCAGCACCCACCACCAACGCAACATCCACCACCTACGCAGCATCCACCACCAACTCAGTATCCACCACCTACGCAGCATCCACCACCAACACAGTATCCACCACCTATTCACGGACGTCCGCCACCTACTCAGCGTCCACCACCAATTCAGTATCCACCACCTACCCACGGACGTCCGCCACCTACCCACCGTCCACCACCTACTCACGGACGTCCGCCACCTACCCACCGTCCACCACCTACTCACGGACGTCCGCCACCTACTCACCGTCCGCCACCTATTCAGTATCCACCACCTACTCACCGTCCACCACCCACTCAGTATCCACCACCCACCCACGGCCGTCCACCACCGACCCATGGGCACCCTCCACCTACTCACGGCCGACCACCTCCAACCCACGGGCGCCCTCCACCAACCCATGGCCGTCCACCACCAACTTACGGACGTCCTCCACCAACTCAGTATCCACCACCCACCCACGGTCGTCCTCCACCAACCCACGGGCGTCCACCACCGACTCACGGTCGTCCTCCACCGATCCAATGTCCACCTCCTTATGGTCGTACACCACCAACTCACGGATATCCACCGCCAACTCGGTATCCATCGCCACCACCATATGGAAGGACACGTCCAATTGAGACTTCTGCATAATCTTTAGGATAATCACCACAAGCCAACCACACCACTTAGACTAGAGTGCTCGTATGTATGTATATGCACGTAGCACATGTATCTAGAAGTTCCGCCGACGTCGTTTCGTGAAGTGTAATGAACTCTCCACGGAGATGTGTGGTAGTTCTGTGACTACTCTTGCAAATATATTATGGCGCCGCCAATATATGAATAACACAGAAACTGTGTACCTTTCGAGTAACTGCGTGCATGTAAAGGATTTTCCCACTGTATTGAACTTTCTCCTTATTTCATTAAAGAACAAATAACGTGAATTATATATATATATATATATATGAATATTAATCAGGAACAAGAAAACTTTTTTTTTTAAAAAGAAAATCATGGTCGCCAATGAAAGGTTCTTCTTCCCTTTGTCTCGTGCGTGCCAAAAACATGCGCAGATTTTTCAGAGACTGTCTATTGTGTTATGATTAAAAAAAAAAACATAAATTTTTCCTTAATAATGAATAATTGAATGAACAGTTATAAAATTTAAACCTCATTACAGCATTTTAAAAGTTTAAGCACCTTAAAAGATTTATGTCCTTATAGATAATGTTCTTGAATTTTAAAATTTTGATGATGTTGGTAACGCACTTCATTTTAATATCTTGTTTTCCTTTTTTGAAAAAAACTAATGAACTCGTTATTTAAACTTTTTTAAAAAAATCACTACTAATTGAAAACGATAAATTTTGAGTTAAAAATATTATAGCGTGTATGAACGAGTCAGATATTTTTTTCTATTCCTTTCTTTGGCGCTACTGGGTTATCACGAATTGAATCAGGGATCTCGTATGTGAAGTAAATCATCGCAGCTACAATCAAACAAATTAAAAGAAAATCAATACATTCTTTTTTTAAAACGATTCGTCCTTCACGAATGAAACGTATATACATATCTAATAAAAAATAAATAAATTATTATTATTTTTATATTCAAATTCTCATTAATTAAATAATTTTATATTTTAAACAACTATATATGTATTTTATTTTATATTATAGTACTATCTAAATTTGTATTAAATAATTTATATACTTAAGAATAATATTATGACATTTGATAACTATTATCTTTATTAATTATATATATGATAAATAGTAAATAATAGATATTTTTATTATCAATAAATAATTTATGTATTTTCTAAAATTATTTTAAATATTATGTTACGACACATAAATATTACAAGTATTATTTTTATATACAGAGATAATATATAAATAACGAATAATTATTATAAATAATAAATAATGGATACTACTTAACTTTTTATCCCACTAAAAATTTATTTAATTTAAACGTACTTTTTATGCATAAATTTTAATAAAAATTAATTTAAACTAAAATTAAAAGTTTAAACTTAAACAATTTGTAAAATAACTTACTTTAAATTTTTTGAATAATAGGACTGTTTTACTATTTGGACATTTATGTTTTGAATAAATTATCAATTTTATTATTGAATTTTAACTAAAATTATAATTTAATTTTAATTTTTTTTAATAAATAATTATCGAACTTTTTATCTTTTTTTTTTAAATATCATAAAAAAATAATTTATTTATTTATTTCAAGAATATTAAACAGATATAAAGAAGTTGTAAGATCTATGGACATTTACTTGTATATATTTATCCGGTTTAAAAATTAAAAACAACATAAATATTTATGTTTGATACACGTGGCTGACTAATAACCGTTTATTAAAGAAAAAAGAAATCAATCTGACGGCCGAGAAAGAAACCCTAACCCCGGGTTTATGCTATATATTGGTCTCAAGGTTCACTTCCTCCTCCTCTCACTCCGCCGGTCCACACCTCGTTAAAAATTCTTTCTGTCGGCCCTCTGTCTGCCTAGCCGCCACGATTGTAGTCGATTCAGCAACGATTTGAGTCAACGCTTCCCTCTTCTCCTCGTCAATCTTCATTTTTTATCCTCTTGGTGGCTGAGGCTAAAAAATTTCCATCTTCCCCATTTCCGCGTCGCTGGTGTAAAGGTTGGTTCTTTTTTATGTATCTATGGGATTTTTTGTTTCTTTGTGTTCTAAAGTTAATATGTTATGGGTTTATAAGTTCGACTGTTTAGTATTTATGTTGCCCTGTTCTTGTTTCTATTTGGTTTGCTGGAATGATTGTGATGTTTAATGAAATTTATTCACATTTCGTAATTTTCTTTTTCTGGTTGCTAAATCAGATTTAAAATGGATTTATTGGGTTATATATGATTCAGGCGTGGGGATTTGATTGATTTAATGTTATAGGTAATTAGCCTAATTGTTTGTCAGTTACTTGCGTATTCTGCTTCTCTTTATTGAATTTTATCGGGGGATCTTTTATCCGACATATGCCTAAACATGAAAGCTTACTGTTGTTTTGGGTAAGAGTTTGAATGTTTGGTGGAAACCTGTTTTTATCGGCAATCTTTCTCCCTGCTGATCCAAAATGACATATTTTTGCCAGTGTTTGTTTTGAAAGATTCGCGGCAATATGTTTATTACTATTACTTAAGTAACCCAAATGAGTAGTATGATGATTTACTTTGATTTTGATGCGTACTTTGACTGAATCAACTCATTCTGAAATTTTAGTTTTGTAGCATACTAGTTGATTATGCTTCTGAATGGCGAATAAACTGTACTTACTGTACTTATTGTTTTGATCTTTGTCCATAGGAGAGGATGGGAGGAGTCCTTTTCTTACTTGGACTCCTCCTTCGGCCGGTAGCAGAGGCTTACACGGCTCTGCCTTTCGGCTTCCCGACGGGTTCGGGAAGCCGATGATTTTTTTTCTTTTTTCTTCTTCTTCTTCTTGTGTTTCAGTTTGTGGCCTTAAGGACAACATTTTGGTCTCATAATCCTGCCTAGGGCATGAGATTTCTTGCAAAGGGATACTCTCTTTCTTGTTTCAGGTTATATCTTTTTCAAATTATGTTGAATGATCTCAACGTTTTTTTGGCTTCTTAATTTTCTTCAAATCTGATCCTTATTTCCTTTAAGATAATTTATTTCTTAAAATCTGGTTGTGTTTCTATATCTATTGTGAACCAGTTAAATTGATTCGACTATCAATTTCTCCTCTTCAAGTCTGGTAGTACTTCCTCTTGGGTGCTTCAAATTCATTTCTAAATGTTAGGTGTTTTTGGGTTTACTTCATTTTTGAATACAAATTGTTCTCCTCTTCAGACCTTCCAATCTGGGTATGAGATGACAAAGATGTCTTAAATCCCATATTGCTTTCCAAATATGAATGCTGGTCTCTTTCAAATGCGTTTCAAGCTTTCTTGGCCTCTTAAAATCTGTTATAATTCTTGTTGGCACTTCAGGCATGGATATGGTTATTCTTGAGGCATTCCAAATCTGTATCAAACATTTCAAAGTTGTTTAGATGTATTCAATTCACATTTTTCACACTGTTTTAGTATCCACTTTTTAGCGGCAGTTTGGTGATTGTTTAAACGGGCTAGCTAATGTGTTTACTTGCTGTTTGGAAAGGAAACAGCAAGTAAGCAGGGGTCCGTTTTGAGCATTTATGCAGGTTATTTAACAGGGGGTTTTAAGGCTTAAAGGGGCTAGCTTATTTATTTATTTATTTATTTTCTGCATTTACTGGTTTGGGGGCTGTTTTATGTTTAAAGTAGACAACAAATGTGATACTTGCTGTGTGGGAATAAAATAAATAGGGACTGTTCTAGGTTTTTGCATTCACTGCTTAGTCATCACTTTTTGGGGCTGTATAGTGTTGCTTGAACCTGAAAACTAGTGTGGTACTTCCTGTTTTTGTGAAATAGAATAAATGGGAAAACGGGGAATTGTTTTATGTTTACTGTTGTGATATTCACATTTAGGGTTTTTGGGTCTTCTTTAAACCAGAAAAAGGTGCTGTTTGGAAACAAAATAAATTGGGGAGACAATCCCATTTTTGGGATCTTAACATGATTAATGGGTAAAAGTTTTGAAGACTTAAATAAAGGCCAAATAGCGGAATGTTCAATGGGTAATTATATCTTTTAATAAATCTTTCTTTTTTGGGGTATGATTCAGTGTTATTTTAGGCTTAGCTTTCTACTTCGGATATTTATATTACTTCATTAATATAGTAATAATTTCTATTGCTGCTTACACCTACAATTGATGTAGGGCTACTACCACTGATTGCTAGTAGAAGGGTGTCTTTTACTGGTATAGCTGGTTATCAGGCTGGTTGTACCGTACTATAGTACTATTGCACTACGAAAGTAACAAAACAAACCCTAAGATACTTATTCTAACAGAAATTGACTTTTGTTTACTTTATTTTATTTTCCTTCTAATAATGAAAACACTAATCTCGATAACTTTCACTTATTAGGTTTTTGTTGAAGAAGGGATTTGGTGTTTGTGTGTGAGAGAGAGAGAATTCCAAGAGATGTTTTTCCACATAGTGTTGGAGCGGAATATGCAGCTGCACCCACGCCACTTCGGGCGCAATTTGCGGGAGAACCTTGTGACCAAGCTCATGAAAGATGTGGAGGGAACCTGCAGGTTAGATTCAGTTTATTCCCACTTTTGTTTGTTTCCCTGGAAATATTGAAAATGTTTGGAAAATGCGTTTTTGTTCCTGAAAAGTTATTTGTAAAGTACAGAGCTTGTTTGCTGTATTTGGTTCGTGAAGTTACAAATTTGGGTCTTAGAATTTCAAAATAATGGGTTCTTTTTGTTAATAAAGATGGTTCGTAGTTAAAATAACTTAAGATCCAGTCTTCTTTTAACAATCTATATAAGAAAATTAACTTGCGTTTCTCAATTATTAAACTGGTTTAGGTTAGTTTGACAATAATACGTTATGGGAGAAATTGTGATTGGAGAAGATCTCATTTGGTGTGCAGCGGTCGACATGGATTTGTGGTGGCAATAACTGGTATAGAGAACATTGGAAAGGGTTTGATTCGCGATGGGACGGGATTTGTGACATTTCCTGTGAAATACCAGTGTGTTGTTTTCAGACCATTTAAAGGAGAAATCTTAGAAGCTGTTGTTACTATGGTTAACAAGGTGTGTATTCCTACAACCATATGCCGGCTAAACTATATGTTCTGTGGAGACTTCTGTAATGATATGGGGGAATCCTTACAGATGGGATTTTTCGCTGAAGCTGGGCCAGTTCAAATTTTTGTTTCTAACCATGTGAGTATGTTTCCCTTATGGTAATGAGTTCTTTTAAATTTTTGTTTTACTGTCAAAATATTTATATCCTGCTTAAATTCATGTAACATGTGGAACTATAATTGTTGAGATAAAGTTGCATTTTCTGTTCAACCATGTGATTTTCCATACTACCTATCTCTTCTATTGAAAGACATGTTCTGTGATGTTTGGGGTAAAACAAAAAGGAAATTGACTTTGAAGAAAATCAAATATAATGCTGACTAGAAATATGTAAAAGCTGCTACTCTGCCCGCTGTTGAGGAATTAAGGTGAAAAGAGAAAACTAAACTACAGCTTCAGCTGTTCAGTTTTCAAATCCATCCATCTATTGACTGATTCCCCTTTTCTTCTCCTTTTTCTTTTGTTCTATGATAATAAGAGTGAGTGAGCTTTTCTTTGTGGCTGTTGGTCAGCTGGGGCATACTTCCTGAAAGAAAATTCTACACTGCAGAATTTGACTGAAACTTGAAAAATTAGTTATTTTGGCCAATGTTTTTGCGCTTTTAGTATTGTATTTTAGTTGTGAATTGTAAGCCCTCTCTTGGTTAAACTTCCTCAATATGCCTGGTCTGGAGATTCATGAGAATTCATGTTGTTTCTTCCATTTTTCGCATTTTTATCTTCTGTTCTTTGACATGTTATTAGCATAAATTTTATTTTCAGTTGATTCCTGATGATATGGAGTTTCAATCTGGGGATATGCCAAATTATACTACTTCGGATGGATCGGTGTGTGTCTTTTCTAGTTACTACAAATAAAGTTCATGCTTGAGTCCAAGTTTCTTCCTTTGTACTTAAAATTGATCTTGGGCTTCTGGTAGTTAAGATTCAAAAGGACAGTGAAGTGCGATTGAAGATCATTGGAACTCGAGTAGATGCTACAGAAATTGTATGTATTTTATGATTATCCAGCTCTTGACTGCTAGATTCCTTTCTACAGCCACATTCTTTGGCCTTGGTTGAATTCTAGTGAGAACTATTCTTTACAACAAATACTGTAGCATAGTTTTTTAGAAATAAAAATATTATTTGACAGGAAGTGAAAATGTCTGGGGAGGACTAAATGTCCCTTTAGAAAAAAGAAATAAAACCAAAAACAAAAGAAGAGAAAGACCAGGCAAACTCAAAAGAGAACAATTAAGCTCAATGGATGATAGCTCTCTCTATATGTGGACAGACAAAAAAATATACTTGTAGTGGCCATGGGATTTATTCCAAGAAGATGCAAGAAAATTCATCCATCCCAAAGAAATCAAAAGGGAAGAAATGGTCTTTAAAGATCTTAGCATTTCTCTCGAACCACAACACCCACGACCCAACAATTGGAGCATCCTCTCCTCTTTTTCTTATTGATGTCGCAAATAAAAGAAATCATAAGCCCTCAAGGTTCATACTAACAGTCACAATCAAAACCTTAACTTTCTCTTTTTCTCTCTCTCTCTCTCAAAAGCAAAAAAAGGAGAAACCTTAACTTTGGAGGAAGCAACAATTTCCTAGAAACAATTACAGAGAACATCATTTGATATCACAGAGTAGGGGGTTCAAAAGTCAAACAAAAATTTACAAGAAACCTGAGGATTCCAAGGACAAAATTCGACAGTAAGGCTTTAGAGAAAAAAATAACAATTTTAAGAAGCCGACTTAAAGAAAGCGTATTAGTAGCTCCATGATCAATAACTTCTATGAAAGAATGCGTCCCAAGGAACATGACCATCAGTTTGGATGGTGTAAGAAGAGATGAGATGTGAGTATAATGGTGATGTGAGAGGACATAAAAGACGAGGGACATGCATGGTCAAAGAGGTGTAATCAATTCAAGGATCTTCTAAAACAAGATACATGACCCATTTCCTTGATTAAAATTTGAACATCTTAATTTCCTGATCAAAATTTAAACTTGTTTTGATTATGAGCTATTTGGCTTTGTATTTTGTTAATCAGTCATTACTTAGGTAGCTCTATTTTTGTTATTTGATTGTGAGCTTGTTTTATCCTTTTATTAGTAGCCAACAAAGAAATGAAACTAACTAAAAAATTCTTTCATTTGCAGCTTATGCAAATCTATCTTTATCTCTACTCTTTCTCTCTTTCCGTATTTTTTCATAAATCAGGAAACCAGGTTCTTGAGAATTCACTATTCTAATGTTGTAATGTTGTTTTCGCAGTTCTGCATTGGTACTATAAAGGATGATTTCCTGGGTGTGATAAATGATCCAACAGCCGCTTAAGCTGTTGGAGGCTTATTTTTTTTCTGTCAGAATGACTTGGCGTGAGATGGGTCCTGGTTACATTTCCATATTGTATGTATAGTTTGAAAAGCAAATTTCTTCCCTGAACCCCAAATGGAGCTACAGCATTACGATTTGAGATCAGTTGTTGAGATATAGATCTTGATACTGATTGATGGTATACTAATCAAATTTATCGTAGTTCTGAGTTTATAGTTTTATACTTCCCAATTCTATTACTTATGAGTGGGCTGACCCTGTAAATGGGTTTTTCACTGAACAGAGTCTGTAATTAATTGATTGGATTAGCTTCCTTCAACAGATATCTAGCTGAAGGCGGAATCATTAGAAGGCTGCTATAGTAGTGCTAGCTCACCTGGCATTAGATATCCTCATTTCTCGTCAAATAATATTCAAGTTCTGACCTGATTTTTACTATGGTGCATCCGGGGTATTTTATACATTTATGTAATGTGTATATATCTACTTTCAGATATGTTTTCCTTTTTGGGCTACACGTCAAGTAAGATAACTTTGCATATGTTTCACCACCTCTAAGTAATTACATTATCAAAGTTTAACAAGTGAATGAACAGATCCCAATATTCTTAAATTGTAATTTTAGTTTTTTATCCGTTCAATCTTCTCAAACAAATAATGGTTTGTTATAATTTGTTATTTTGAGGTTTTAAAAACAGTTAATTTTGTCATTAAATTCACTGAAAATAGGAAAGGAAACTCGAAACCTGTTGCATTCACTGATTGAGAAGTGCATTTCTGTGTCTTATTCTTCTTTTAAATGTAAACTTATTTAAATATACATATATATATATATGTATATAATCTTTACTACTATGTACGGAGTCTAATTTATAAATTCTTTCAAAATAATAGATTTAAGCCCTCTAAACATGAAAATTCAGTAACAA